AGTACTATAAAGTATAAAGTTTAAAAAAATATGAAGACACTGTAGTGACTTATGGCAAAAATTGGTAGGTATTTAGATATTGGATATAAAATGTTTTCTGTGAACCATTATTTTTGATATCAGACATGAAAAACGTTTAATCATATAACTGTTTATGTCAAATTGAAATAAAACTTAATTTATTTTTTTTTTTTTGTAAAAAGCGTAGGTAATAGCAAATATTGTGCTCAAACTTTATATGGTTTAACGGCGTAATAACATGGTTTTACTTTAGTTTCTTAACCATTTTATAGAATTTTGTTATATTTCACAATTGAATAAAGCAACTAACAAGTAATTTAATATCAGTTTTACAATATGTACCTACTTACATTCTTATTTTTTACATTTATTAAAATAACTTTCGTATAGTTTTATCTGTTATTATTACTTTTTCTACAAAACTGAGTGCTCCTTAAAGTTTCATAATGATCCACTTAAATGGYAAAATWTGTAATACTGTGTTGAAAATAATATCTAGTTTTGTTGAATTTTAATAGTAGATGGTACTTTAAATTTAAATAGGTTATTAGTATTATTATTATTTTTTTTGTTTAAATATTTTTCTGAAATGAAATACAATAAAAAATTAACTAACAAATTTATTTTTGTACAATTTAATTTAATTTATTTAATTCAATAATCGTTTTATCATCTTTGGGAAACTTGACATTTTAACTGAATATTTTCTTAAAAAATATGTATTAGTCGTCAAATGATTTGTTTCAATACAATTTTTGACCACCATCGTGTGCTTTTTTATAGGCATATAAATATTTTTAAGCACAAATTTTGTTTATTTTTAAGACAGCTATATCCTATATGACGCGTTTTTTAAATTTTCAACTAATAAAAACTATTATATTTATTCACTATTTCATTTTCAATAAAAATGAGAAATAATTTGTATATATTGAGAGGCAACTAGTATATACCTCAAACAATATACGTATGAAGGACGACTTTGGTCACATTAATCTCTATAATAAAGTAAATTGTAGTGCATATTATGTATTATGTTTAGATAGATATACCTATTATATGTCACTTCTGCATGATGAGGATATTGGTTATTTCAATAAATTACATTATTATCATCCACGGACATCGCGTTGAATATAAACCTTACATATAGATATAAATWTATTACATATAAGCGGCGATTGAAATAAGGAAAGTAGCCTTAATGAAATAAATTTAAAAAAATATAGCTCTAAAAAATTAAAAATATTTTAAAGCATGTAATATTAGAGCGATTTGTTTTTATTTATAAATTATATTTTAAAAAGGTATATCATTACTATGGAGTCAACACTTTTTATTTTATCAAAGATAATTTAATATATCCCATACAAATTAAAAATTTAGATACCACTTGATACTATAATTTTTTTACCTCGTAGAGTATTGTTATATTTGATTCTTTGATAACTTTACTATCAATTGTTATTAATATTAAGGTATTGATGATTATTACACAAAAGTTAATATTTTTGATAAACAGGAAATGTTTAGAAAAAAATACATTTACACAGGAGGTCAATGTAATCTAGGGAATTTGTTTGCTGCTTATTAAATTTTTGTTGTAAGTCTTCCCTCCCCAAGATTTTACATAATTTATTTTTTATTTTTATTTATTTAATTGTGTCAATACACCGAATATTTTGACAATTTCAACGTAAGAATGGATATGTGTATCATGATGTTGTACAAAAAGTACAACTGAGAATATTATTTTCGAACGAATAATGAAGATATGAAGATGAATAGTTACAGAGATCATCATGTTAGAAAAAAGCGGGTAAGTCGTGGATGTCGCTCTGTTGTAGGTTACAAATGGGTTACTGTAATGGATGGAATTAAATCTGAATTCAATGGTATTATATCATTGTATACGAAAAACGATTCTGAACGGAGACGGTTTATCTGTCTAGGATATATTATAGATTATTAAAAATTAAAAAAAAACTACAAAACTGAAAATTATAAAGATTAGTATTTGAATAAATTCATTAAAGGAATGGGGGTTAACATACTTGTGAATCACTCTATTTAATGCAATGATTTATTATTTGTACAATATACACAATGTATAATGGTAGTTCTGAAAAAAAAAATGGTAAATTTAATATCTATACAGTTGTAAAATATCGATGAAAAAATTAATTTTGATGGTCTTGTAAACAATTAACGTTTTGTTGTRTAAATAACTTTTTAATTTGAAATCTATTACTGAACTGTGTAAGAAATATAATGGCATTTCAATGGGTATTAAACAATATTTTAAAAACTAATTATTTAAAGTTACACTTATAAAATATAACTAATATATGTACGTTGACTCACCGATTTTATGCATAGGACTAAACCGTGCCAAAGATATCACTCCTTGGTCACTTGTGCACGCTCGAGCAAATCTGAAATGTAAACGATGATTCGATTAATATCAAATAGAATATCAGCAGAATAAATAAATCAAATGTATGGCCATAAGCCTAAACATAATGATAATGATAAAATAATATTTAAACTATATTATTATTTACATTTAGCTACCTAAAGCAGTTTTTGAAAGTTCCACACCTAAGAAAAAACATAACCAAAGTTGAAATATTTACCTCATAAAATACCATTACACATATTTTAAGTTTTAACTGTAACAT